AAATGGAACGCTGGGGATGCCCAGTTTTATAAATCCCCTGTCAGTGCAGCAGTCTCCTTCAGGTTAATGTTCTTGCTAACCCCCCTGGAAACTTCATCCTCTCCCTTCTCAGGCTATAGGCAAAAGGATTTACTTCCTATTTATTTTTTCCATAAGATTGTTTCCCCCTACTGTGGTTTCAATTCAGCTGTTTTTTTTAAATACTTTGTAAACTGAATTATTAATGCTTGCACCATTTTAAAAAATAATGCCATGCAGTACCTGACAATCTCTTGCTGACCCAGCAGGTAAGGCTTTTTTTTTCTGTTTTGAGAACAGTTTACTTGAACTTTTGCACTTTACTGATACAGAACAGTAGTACTAGACTTCTTGCAAAAGCCAAGCTTACAGGGAATGTCATCCTGTCGAAAGTGGTTTGCTCTTACACAATATGCTTTTGTTAAAGTGTGTGTGTTTGGTATGGTTCCTGTTGTGCCTGTTATTCTCTGGCAATGTTACTTGTGTTCAGTTTACCTGAGAGTGGAAGTGTTAGTGTTGGAATAGCCTGGTGTTTTGTGCGGAGGGTCCAGGTCTTCAGTTCTGTTTAAAAGTCTATCAACTCTCTACCTTCTACCTTGTTGATAAGGACTGATCTTATGCTATTTTCTCCATACTATTCCTCTCAGACTTTAGGACTGCATTACTTTAAGGCATCCTCAAAACTTTGATTTTGACCCATCCAGGTCTGACACTTCTTTCTGTAATAAAGCTTTTGAGGAGGAGCTTGTCCACCTGGGTAATTTCTTCCTAATTTCCATTCAGTGAAAGCTTTTGGATTTGTTTCTAGGATTTGAATTACTTATGCCTCTTCCCAAAGCTTTTATTGCGGTGCCCTACTGAAAACATCAGAAATTTTCAACTTTAGGAATATGTTTCCCCCAAAACTGTAATAACTCAAGAGTGTTGTTGTAAAGCCATGCAAAGCAAGAGAGGGTCAAAAAATCTGAGAAGCAATGAAGTTGTAATGCTTTTGCTCATTTCTTTGAATTGTGGATTCTAACCTCATTAGTGGCTTCTAAAAACCTTGGTGTTCATGACTTGCAACTGATACCTTTTCTAAAAACAGAGGGAGGGAGGAGAGGGAGTACTCTGTTTATTTCAACAACCACAAGCAACACTTCCAAAATACACTTGTGGTTGTATCGCAGAGTTATGAATCTTAGGTTATCTAGTGGTGACTAACATGGTGAGACAGTAGCCTAATATGTCCAGGCTTTATTTAGAAAAGGTAATTCCTGTCGAAGACAACACCAGTGTTTCATTCACTGTTTGCTGAGTCCATAAGTACAGGTATCAAGTCTGTTGACAGTTCACGATGCCAAGATACAGCAGCTCTCCTTTCAGGGTCTGACTACAAGTTTTAAAGGATTTTGCAATACAGAAAGAAACAAATTCCTCTCCCCCTCCAGCTTCTCTCCTTCCAAATGCACTTTTTAGGTTGTTCTATGGTTTGATCAAAGTTAACAAGGGGTCATGATATCTCTGGATCAGGTAGGTTTTTCTCTTACCTTGTGGTGATTTTTTTAAACACTATTATCTCATCAGAGAGGTGGTTCACAAATAGATTGTAACAGCTTTCTAAATTCTTCAGCCCAAGCCTGGATTATACCAGTTGCTACATTTAGAGAATCCTACAGGTTAAGAAAAAAATTACTTTTTTTTCCTCACTGCAAGTTAAACCTGTAGAGTCTGTGTGTGCATCTTCAGTAAGGCAGGAATCTTCTACTGTTCTGCCTGTTTAAAAATAAAATGGAAGAGCAAATCCTCTCTGGCAAACTGGGAGTTCCTCGGTTTTTGGGTTATATACAGTTTGCATTGAAGATAAGCTGGTTTGGGGGGCATAGGCTTTGACAAAGAACATGTGGCTTTATTCCCATGAACAGACAATGCAGCTGAACTGGGGATTACTGAATACTGGGGAGTCCTCCCTGACTTGCCACCTTCTCATTGATTCAGAGTGCAGGGAATTGTTTGCCCCTGTGGCAATAACATCATTTTAATATTTGTCTGGTAGTGAAAGAATGAATGATATCTTCTCCCAGAAAGACAGAAAGTGTTTGTGTTGGTTTGGGGTTTTCTTTTAAAGTGTTGTTGGTTTTGGTGTTGGTTTTTTTTTTAAGATAAATAAAAAAATCTTCTGTGGGTCATTTTAGACTCTCAGAAACTTGAATGTGCTAAATGAGTATGTTTCCCTAGCTGAGCCAATAGGGATAGCCAGGCACAGGCAACACTTTTATCCCACGAAAGGGAGGAGGGGTGAATGAGCCAGAAGATATAAGCTGAAACAAAGCCATGCTGTCCTTCTGAGTCATTCGCATACAGTGGATGGGTAAGGCTTCCTGCTTCCTGGGACACAGAAGTGGGGTCATGATTCTAACAATGGACGTTGGTAAGTCACCTTTTATTAAATTTGTCTGTGGTTTTTTTTCTGGGAAGTCTCTCCTTCCCCTTCCCTCCCTAGCTGAAAAGAAGATATCTGTAAACTGGGAGGCTGAATGGTTAAATAAAAGAATGCTTAATCCAGACTTCGCATGCTGTGTGCACTTCACTGTGTGTTACACTGGTGTTATTTCTTGACTGTTACTCATCGAAGCATATATCCTCTCTTGCAAAGCAAGACCTTGGTATCAAAAGTGTGTCTGTTAATTTGTACTTCTATCTTCATTGGGACAGAACCTGTGGCTTGAGAAGTACATGATGTCTCACTCTCTTTGATAATAGATGTGGATAGTGTCTGGAAGATACCTGCTAGATCTTAGGCTTGTTGAAAAGAGTTAGTGGTGAACTAATGTATTGGCTGTGGCTTCCTCTACTCTGTGTTTACAGAAATTTTGTACTGGGGAGGAAGAGGGAAAAATTACTGCATTTCTGTGGTAGGCAGCTCTGCTTTATGTGCTTATAGCCAAGAAGTGTACGTGAAAAAGCACACACAGGATTTGGGTTTTTTTAAATTAGATACGAAAGTGAAATCTTTAACAGAGTTCCCTGTGTGATAGGGAGAATGAACGTAGAGTGGTTTCTATAAAAGAAACAAGCAATCCCAGTCCTGCTTCTTGAGAGGGGGTGTGTTTCCATGTCATAACTTGCATCCTTCAAATTCCACTGTAATAAAAGACCTTGGATTTTAAATGGTTATGGATAGGACATAAAGCACCAGTGGTTGTGCTCTGGCAGCATGCTCTCGGCTGCTCCTTCCCTTTACCAGCTGCAAGCATGCCTGCTGCATTTTTAAGAGGTCTGTTGAACTTTTGTCAGCAGTTGGTTCGGCTACTTTTTTTTCACCACAGTGCAGAAGCATAATGTGACATGTTCTGCAAGCTCTGTTCAAAGTGATAAACTTAGTCGGGTAGATCTTGCCAGTCTGTTTTATCTACTTGTCACATGCTGGGTTTACTCCATGCTAATGAAAAGCTCACTGTTCAGTTGGGCATATGCTGGGCCCTAAAGGGAAAAACTCTCTGTGCCTTCTTATGGCTCTTTAACTTTACCGAGACTTCCAGAAGGTGACCCAGCTGGGTTCTTCATGCACAATTTAGAGGAGATAGCAAACCACTTCATTTAACCCACTCACACCTAATTAAAGTTGTTTTGTTATCATCTGTGTAGCCAGTGACTCTTTTTGTGTTCCAGGTATGTTACAAGCTTTGCAAATCACTTAAAACCCAGGCCTTTAACTGAGATGATGAAATTTAACACAAGCTCTAAGAGGAGTAAGATGGTGCATGGCTGACAATTTTCCATTAAATGGAAGATGATTTTTTTATTAAGTGATTTTTTGGCCCTTCCTTTAGAGTCGCTTCTAGAGGAGCCAAATTTCAGGCCCTTGAAGCAGTTTGAATACCAGGAATTGGTGATCCTCTTCTACCCTTGCTTGAATAAGGATTGATGCCTAGATTGTAGATGTCATGCCATGTATTTTAGGAGGATGCCCTGGCACTGTTCAGAATTTACATACTTGTGGGAGATAGAGATAACAGGTTTTGCTCACAAGACATTTCTTCCCCTTTGAAGTACCAGAGTTCCTGTACTGCCCTGGAGTAATTGAACTCTTTGTTTTGGAGAGACTGGGAGGATGTTAATAATATATGGTTGAAAAAATACCTTTTATTTGCCTATAATTACATACTTGCATTGTGTGCTGTTTCTTTGCACTGTGAGGTGAACCATAAAGATAATGCTGCTCACCTGTGTTTCATTGGATCCAAGCCTGATTTTTTTCCCAGAACCATGTCACTGTACTGGTTTCTCCGGAACTACTGTGCTCTTGTAGTCCTAGTGGTAATTTTCAGTTATAACAACTTGTATGGTTAGTAAACATATATTTTGGAAGATCTTAATTCTGTAAGAATTCTTAAATTATAGTTCTTAGCTTCTTTGTGGGAAAATGGTTCTAACTACCTGAAAGGAAACATTGTAATTCAAGGATTTATAACAGGGAATTCTAGTACTTCACAAGTGTATTTAGGTTACAGAAAAAAATATGCAAGCAATGCCTTATGCCTCAGTCTGGGACGTGGATGGTGCCCTATGAAGTTTATCTGCTTAGTTTCACCCACCTTTTAAAGCTGTCCTTGCTGTTCTTGGAACAGTTTGCTTATTTCAATTTGTATGTTTGCATTACAAGTCAGGGCTGATAACTTCTTTTATATGGGCATAAAATACTTAAGCTGGTTTTTACAGAATAAAACTTCTTTTCCTTAAGATAATTGTAAGAATAGTTGTGCATTTGTTTCAAATATGTATTTAATGCATTTAATGCTGCTGCATTTGTCTTAGCACCTTCTAATTTCTGTCAGGAGGAGGACTAAAAATGTTTTGGATGGGGGGAGTAAAAAGGAGGGCTGCAAGACAGAGTTGACAGTATAATTGGATTTGAAGCAGCTACAGGCTGGGCTGTTGCAACAGCTGATTTGATCCTTCTGAGTTTCAAGAGCTATTTATGGTAGATTAGCTGTATCAAAGCTCTACTGTTCCAACCATAAAAGGTTGGTCCTCTGTGAAGTTGCCACACTGCATTTGGCTTAGTCCTCTGAGGTCGGAGAGCCTATAGCTTTTTATGTGGATAAATCCAGTGATGGATGGAAATACTAAAGGCAGATCAAGGAATAACACTGTTGAGGACTTCAGATGGCAGCGAACTCTTAAAAGGAGATTTTCACTAATAAATTTTTTGCTCTGATGTTTGGAATCAGCACTTGGATATAGCTCCTGCATATTTACTGCATTTGGTGAACGCATGCTTTTAGGAAAGCGCTGTTCTAAATTTATCTGACTTATCTGAATCATCTTGACTGCACATGTACTTGCCAGCCATGCATGTTGATATTTGGTAACTTTTGTGAAGTCACTTTTCTGTTTTCTAAGCGGGTGAGTGTTAGGTCCTTTGGAAAGAAATCTTAGCTAAAGTGAGTAACTTCTTTAAAACAAGAATTATTAAATACTTGGCTAAAGAGAGCTTCAGGCGATATCTGTAACTATTTTGAGAAGACTTTGATTCCTTTTGCTACATCCTTCTGTCCTCTGTGTAAAGGCAGACAAGTGGATTTTTTACAGGACTCTGAAGTAAGTAGCACCTTGTCCGGAGAGCTTGCACGCAGTCGCTCGAGTCACTCGTTTGAGAATATTCACAGCATTGTCAGGTCGAAATGCAAGTGGGTTTATTCCAGCCTGTGCATGCCAGCCCTTCAGCCTTCCTTAAGGCATTTTGTGTTTTTATTTTCGAGTTTTGCTTAGACGATGAGTTCATTCTGCTATGAATGGAAAGTCCTGTCACTGGTTGGTTTGTGTGATGTGTCTATTCTTTTTCAGTTTTAATATGTGAACCTTAGCCACAGTACTTCAAACGGCTATAAGAGCACTTATATAGCAACAAAAGTTTTCAGTAGTAATTTTCTCTTGTGTTTAAGAAGTTCTATAAACACCTGTGAATACTGTTGCATTGGATAACTCTGTTGTATTTTGAGACTTGGAGTGTTCCGAAGAAAGCTTCCTCCAACTTTCCATTCTCTTATTTTTAAACATTATCAGAACACCACAGGTGGCAGTTACTGGCACTATTTTACCTTCCTCTCCTGCAGCAGTATCCTTGCAGGCAGTTACTCGAGCCAGTTGTTTGAGAATATTCACAGTGTTGTCAGGTTGAAATGCAAGTGGGTTTATTCCAGCCTGTTAAAGGGGGGGAGTATAAGGGACAGGGGGATGGGAAGAAAAGTTTCCTTGCTTCAAGGATATCCCAGGTGCTATATTTTAATCTCCAGAAACAAGAACGGTGTCCTTGCCAAAAAAAATCTCAATTTCCCTTTCAGGAACTAGCAATTTAAGGCCATCTTCCATTTTCTATCGATTACAAATCTATATTTCTCTGTCAAATGTATCCAGAATTTTTATTCTGAATTCTATAAGCCTTTGTTTTAGCCCAGGGAATACCAGAAGACAGAACATATCTGGAGCATTACTGTTTAAAAACAACTGTATCAGTTTAGGGATGGGAATATTTTATTGGAATAACCAATAAAATATATATATTAAATTTTTCTCACACAGACTTTGTTAGATATACATTTAAATACTCACTTCTATCTGTGTATTTTATAGGAGATAGAATCAGTCTACCTGCAGAAGCAGTGAGGATGTGGAAGAAACTGCCTGATCAATATACTCCTTCAGACAGCTTCTTAATTTTTGTGTTGGATTAACAGATGTGTGCTTCAGTTTGATACCTGACTTTAAAATGTTTTTACATCATTTCCAGTAAAATTAGTATTTTTAAGAAGCATCCTTTTTTATGTGATCTGATTTTGTTTTCCTTTGCTAATTACATTTTAAAAAGCATGTTGCTATAAATTACTCCACCATTTTAACATGCCTGTTTTGTACCTGTTAACCTGTTTGAAGGTGTCAATGCCTTAAAAGCCTTAAAACCACAGAACCATCAGATATGGAAGTTAAATACCCCAGAGTGTGCAGAAGAGCAGGAATACACTGGTAGAGATCTTAACTTGCACTAACAGTATAATACAGGAAATATTTTGATTGATGAAAAGTAACAATATCTGCTCCTCTTCATGCAGCAAAGGCTTAAATGTAATGGAATAGGTAAATTTTCTTCCCCAGCTCAATTTAAGTGTTAATTCTACCTCATCCTGTGCTGTTTTGTCTTGATTGAATTGCTGAATTACATTTTTGGCAAAAATTTCCAGTAAGAAGAATTTCAGATTTTTCTGGGTATTATTCTGCAGGACTTTAGCTTGGTAGTTGACATTTCTTTGCTAAATTCTTTGATAATTTATATGGGATAAAGGTAGTGGGGATATGCAAGCAGTATTAATCTGTCTTTGGATTATGCCATTTTTATGCAGAGAAGAGACATTATAACTGTACACAGAGCTCCCCAAAACCATCTAGTTGAGGAACAGTAAAATGATAGTGCAGATTCCTTCTTCACAGTGAGTCAAGGTAGACTCGAAGAGGGTAGAGTTGAGCCATTTGTGGCCAAGACATTTCCAGACAGGTCAGAGGAGTCTTTTGCCAGTTTTCTGTGTGGAAAGTATATGTGTCTTATACATACTAACACATTATGAGCTGAGGTTTCTCTTTTGTGTAGGTTTATGTTGATGAAGTGGTTTGAAAGCTTTATATAGTCTTACTACATTTGTTTATGTGAAAGGATATTGAGAGTGTGTAGAATTTGTGGTTTGTGGTTTTGGGTTTTTTTTAAGTGCAACATTGTCATTTTACTTGCTTAGAACATGTTCAGAAGATCAGCTCTTGTCTATGAAACCTTTAATATGATGAACAGGGGAGAAATTGCACAAGCTTATTTAGTTTAAATTGTCATTGTTTGAGTTCATGTTTGTTCCCCAATGTGTTGGCTGTTGTGCATGGCAATTTCACTGCAGTTTTCAGGAGGCAAAAGTTTGCAGTAATAGGATGGCTGAGATTATTCCCTTAGTAGAGGCATTGTGATTCACAGTGTGTTTTCTTGCTGGATGCAAAGGCTTCTGTTTGTCCATGGAAAAGCCTCCGTTTGGCATAATGGAGGAGAATAGTGATCTTGCAAAGGAATTAGTGTGCACAATGGTCTCACCTTATTAGTTCCCTGGTTTTGCTGCTTTCCCAATTAGACACTTTAGGGTTAACAGACACATTGGAAGGTCGTGATTTTTAATAAGCAAAACATGTCCTACTTGGAGTCTGCCTTAAGCAGATAAGAATGCATTGGGTAACTGGTGATAAAAATGCTTCTGATGTCACTTATTCACGTGGTGGTGTGTTGAAGGGAGTCTTTCATTAGAGCGGGTACAACAACTATGCACAACAAATCTTTGCTGATTTATTTGGATTCAGTTGATGGAATGGTCTCTCTTTGCTCTAATGATGCCAGTTTTCAAAGTTTTAAAAAAAAAAAAATCTTTCAAAGATTAAAATAGTTTGAATTTCCAGACACATCTCTCTTCAGGTATACAAAAAAGCATAATGAAAAACTCAGACATTAACTATCATGTGTTGTAATAACTAAGGCTAGCTACATTTCTAAAGCAACTTGAGGCTCCATCATACCATTACAGAGGAAGTGTGCAATTTCCCAAAAGAACTCAGCTGTCTGACACTAAAAGATGCCATGCTGTTACTAGTGGTCTGTTACAAAGGAACTGCATTTAGGTGTTACTGCCAAAGTACTGTAAGAAGTTAATAATACTTCCGTGGAGTTAATGACTGCCAAATGTGCTCCTCGTGGCTTATACCTGTAAGACTCTTGGCAGTCAGCAAAGACCCACAGGATTTCATTCTTGCTTTGTTATATCAGCCTCAGATTTAAACAAAAATAATGTCTATTCCCCAAAATAAAACAAAGGTAGCACTGTCTCCTATTAGCTCGCTGCAGAAGGATGAAGGAGTGTGGATTAATGTTTCAGAACAGTTGCACCAAGTGTTCTAGAGAATATGCAAGTCATATGTGCTTTACATGTGACTTTTTCAATCTTACCCTTTCTGACAAGAAGCCCAGTTAAGGCTCAGAGACAGCTACAATAACTCTTTAACTCTTAGAAAATAATTGCCCCAACTGTTTATATTACCATGAAAAACAGACAGTATTTCAATGTATTTTCCATTAAGAGCCAACTGGCCCTGAAAGCAAGGTGAGATCCTACTGAAAGCAGCATTTCGGGCAGCTGTTGGCATTCCAGCGGTGACTAGGGTTGGTCAGGCTAACCATGTAGCCACAAGTTAGGTCTGGGAGTTAAGACCTGGGTTCGCTTGGCTTCAGTGTCAGTCATCGTAACACCTGCCTGGCTTCAGTTACAATAAAAAAAACTTGCCAGATTTTTTAACACAGGCAACTGGAGCGGAACAACTGACACAGCTGTTGCTCCAGCAGCACTAGATTTCACTTTTTATTCCCTTTCATTGTGAAGACAAGTAGCTGTTTTTTGCAGTGAGTAAAGCTAACCTTGAATTACATATTTTTTATTGTAGTCAAACATCCAGAGCATATAATTCGTTTGAAAAACAGACTTAAGGCTTCAGTGTTGATAACTAAGCAACTTGAAGCTGAGGCAAATAAAAGCTTATTGCATGCCTTAAAAACTCCAGAGTTAGTTTTTACTAACCCATTTCAAACAAAAAAACATATGCTAACTCCCTGAGTTGAACTCAGCAAAACCTGTGTGAATTGTACAAGTTGACTTTGAAAACATAGCTCAACCCCTGCCTCTTAATTCTGATCAGGTAGTAGGGTGTGGCTTTGCAAGTAAGGAAACTTTGCGTTTAGAGGTTGTGGTTCAGAATAAGAAACTTCATTTTATACCAGTAAGATTAACTCTGGTCTTTAAAGGCTGCATTACAGATGCAATACTAAATTCTTGGGTTGAAGTTTCCCATCTTTCCTACTTCCATTCCTTAAGTTATACTTTATAAAATAGCACAGAATATGTTTTGATTATAGAGCTCTACATGCTAAAATATTCTCTTTATCAGCACACAGATATGTAAAAGTGTGTTACAAATGTAACTGTGGCAGATGCAGTTTCGATATTGTCAGAATGAAGTATCAGTTTATATGTGGAATTCTTGGAAATTATTACTGTAGCTCTGCAAAAAATAAAAGACATTGCATTCTCAGTCAACCAGCTGTCCTGAGAATGAACAAAACCATTAGAAGGTTTTTTGTGGTCAGTTCTGCTTATCAGAATCCTCTAGAATTGTGTTTCAAGTTGCTACAGTTGTTTTGTACCTGAAACATAGTGAATTAGAACACCTCTGGAAGAAATATCTTCTGTTTGCAAAAATTGTATTTGGTGTGTGGACAACTTTGATTTTTTTTTTCCTTGTTGAAATTTCTAGAAAGGATAAGGGTCTTTTGGCTTATTCAGAGCAAGAAAGACTAACTGAACTAACCACTTATGCTGACAAAGGTAAGGTCAGTAATTTTATGAAATGACATGCAAATCTACCCTTGACATCTCCCGAGGATTTCGGAGGAGTATGGATCAGGCAGGTAGATGTGTATGTGTACATGTGTCTGTAAAGGCCAAATAGACTTACACAAACATATTGCCACT